CCCTTCCATATTATTTCCGTCATGGTAATCTCGTCCAACCTCTATGTATTTTCCCTATTTTTGGGGAGCCATATTTTCCTCAGAATTGGCGAATTCTCTCGCTTTCTTCACCACCGATCAGCAACTCCCAACTCATACTTCCGCTTTTCGAATAAAAACGGGTACCTCAAAATTATCGTGAACTGTGCCTTTGAGTAAAAATACGAAATCAAATTGGAACAAGTGAGAATAAGCCAATTAACCTAATCACACAGAACTTGAGCTGGATTTGGCTCATGGAGGGCGAGGCGCTAAGTATCCGATGTGTGTCTTTCGGTGATCCGACTTTTAGTGTGACAGTGGCTTCGGCAGGAATACGAATTCTCCATCAATCCCGTCTGAGGGATGCGCCACCGCGTTCGACTCCCAATCTGAATCATACTGGAGGATTGATAGCGTATGTGACCTATACAATGACTTGCAGTGGTCAGCCGATGTACATGTCAGTGCTTTTATCCTCCCAGAGTCTACCAATTAACCGACCCTAGAGGGATGAAAGGCTCGGTCGACCCAGGCGTATATCGATCGGAGACACGAACTCGAGACCGTGCATGCGATATAGTGCGCCACCTACCACTACACCACCTCAGCCCCGGCCTTTTATTTAATGTGACCAAAGTACATCACACTATCTGCCAATCTATCGTCACATGTTTAAACAGCGTCAGTATGGCTAAGCCAACGAACGACGCGATTAGGTGGTTTCCTACTAGAATAAGAATTATGGTCATCTCATAAGAGCTACGTTTCAAGCAATAAATCATTGTATCTCACAAACTTTGACAATTTGAGTTCACAGGGGCTGTCAATGAAAGTTTTACTCAGCTTCATGGAGATTATATAATATGCTTCTTTTTGAAATCCACGGTTTTGGTAGCGTCCTTTGTTATGAAAGTTCCATACTTGCGATCACAATTCAAAGCCGCCCCTACAATATCCTTCGTGCTCTTCACAACATCCTTCATCCAGCTTATCACCTGCAAAATAACTTCAAAAACACTAAAATACAGTTAACGGAATGGTAATTTTCCCTATTAAACAGGTACCAATACTTGCTACCCATCAATATTTTGAAGGGAGTACTTAAGCTTGCGAGTAGCTTGAGCTATACCTTGATGCAGTCTGCGTTGTAAATATCGAATTTGTAATCGAAATGATTCATGTGACTCATAGCCTTCACTTTCTTGACGGTTCCGAGCCGTGAACCGTAGTCTTTAATCTGAAATAAATACAGCTGTATAAATTTGTAAAGACATTTTTCACTGACCTCTTTTTCCAAACCATTCTTCTTGAAGCGGCTTGCCATGACGATACGCACGTGTTCCTTTCCGTTTCCAAGGTTTTTCGGTGGTGGAATTGCTTGATAAACCTTCAAAGAGTTTCTATTTAATTCTACTTCTTCCACTCTTTGAAATTGCAGGAGGTATAAAAGAATAAGGAAAAAATGGTTTTCGGCGTTAATAGATCTCGTCTAAGGGATGCGCCACGCACTCGATTTTCATTCAGAACAGTAGTGGCGTATTGAATGCTTATCAAACCTATCCAATGACCTGCGGTGACCAGCCGGTGTACAAGTCAGCGCTTTTATCATCCAGGGCGAGTCTGGCACCTATTAAATGATGTCGGAGAAATGGAAGGCCCGGTTGGCCGAAGTGGATATGGATCAGGGGTTTGAACCAGTGATCATGCGCGTGAGATTGTGCGCCACTTGCCGCTACACCAGCTCCTCAGAAGGGACAGATCAGCTGAATGTTTGAGTAAAAAATACATCTAAAAACTCACAGCGATAACTGTTATAACAACGAGAGCGAAGAGTAGACCTTTCATGGTTGCATGGGGTGGAAGCTGTCACACTGTATTTATACTGTTGTAGCATTACATATTTGCATGAGACTAATGCAATTCCTTTTTGAACAAATCGCTTTTCATCATTTTTCAGCCTTTATACATGAATTTTAATGATAGCTATATGTTCCCCTTGTCTCGCGAGCATTATCGAAGCTTAAAAAGAATGAAAAATGAATTGTTTTAAAAGCTATTGCATTAATTTCAATATTCTATTCGCGCAGCACGTATCCATACCTTTTATTCTGCAAGCAAAAACGTGTTTTTTATGAATGGACCCTCTAAGAGATTTATTCATTTCATGAGAAGCGTTTTCTAAACAATACAAAAGCTCTTTCGGCCTGAAACATCGGCTACACCGAGCCCAATAAGAGCATTCGCAAAGCTTGACGGAGCTTCGTCAATTACAAGGACAAGATGACTTCCTTTCGTCGTCCTGACGGAATAGTTACTGCATCCCGAAGGGCAATGAAGAAGATCATCTACGACTCTTACTCGGTCCTCTTCCAACCGCGTCTACCTGGCTACCCATCATCTTAGGCAAGACGGATATATCGCTCCTTTGGTTCTCTTTTCCAAATACGACATGCCATCACGTCGATGAAGAGCTGTACGCGCCCGGTACCCATGGGATTAAACCAGAAGAAGAACAACATCAAGAGTTACCACCTGTTATCGACAGAACTGTGGCGAGACTTTTTACGTGGTACCGGAATGCAANGTCCTGACGGAATAGTTACTGCATCCCGAAGGGCAATTAAGCAGATCATCTATGACTCCTACTCGGTCCTCTTCAACAACCGCGTCTACCTGGCTACCCATCATCTTAGGCAAGACGGATATATCGCTCCTTTGGTTTTCTCTTCCGAAATACGACATGCCATCACGTCGATGAAGAACTGTACGCACCCGGTACCCATAGGATTAAACCAGAAGAAGAACAACATCAAGAGTTACCACCTGTTATCGACAGAACTGTGGCGAGACTTTTTACGTGGTACCGGAATGCAAGGTGCCCACGTCGTGGAAAACTAGCAAGACCGTGTTGCCGTATAGGAAGGGAGAGCCAGACGATATTGGCAATTATCTCCCGATCTCCCTGCTGTCCGTAGTCAACAAGCTTGTCACTCGCGTCATCCCGAACAGGATTGGCAGTATATGAGAAGAAGGACAGCCATGCGAGCAAGTAGGGTTTGGGAGAGGATTCAGTGCAATCGGTCATATCTACACTCTTACAAGACTCACTGAGATATCGGGAGAGTGCAAAACGCCGTTATGTCTTGCGTTCATCGATTTGAGGAAAGCCTTTGATACCGTTGAGACAGAAGCGGTAATTGAAGCCCTGGGTAAACAGGGCGTTCCTACTCAACATAAAAGGATGCTCTGTTAGCTCTACGACAACTTCACAGCCAGGATTTCACTATTCTGCAAGGATGACATTATCAACGTGACGAGAGGTGTCCGGCCGGGCGATACCATTTCGCCCCAACTTTTCTGTGCCGCTCTCGTGGGTATCATGCGTCATTTTCAATAGGAAGACTTGGGAGTGAAGGTCGAAGGCAGCTGCCTATACACCTCGGCTTTGCAGACTTCATCATGCTTATGACACATAACATCGAGCTGGCGGAACGGATGCTGGCCTAGTTTGACAGCGCTTGTGGAAGGATCGGCTTGAGACTGAATTTAACGAAGACGATGTCGATGAAAAACGTATTGGAACCCAATGCTCCCTTCACGCTGAAGGAAACGAATATCTCCGAAAGCTCTAGCTATGTGTACCTAGATCGGCAACTCAACGTGATGAAGACATAGCTCCGGAGCTGTGCAGAGGGAAGTCCGTTCATGGGGGAGCATTTAAAAATATCGTCGGAGTGGTGAAGAAGGCAAAGAACATTACGCTCCCCGCTCACCTTTTCGACACTGTGTCCTTCCTGCTCTGACGTACGCCTCGGAGATTTGGACTCTACGAAAGCAGGATGAGTGTGCTGCCAACGTTACTCAACGCGCTTTAGAAATGACGATGCTCGGAACTTGCCTATTTGCGCAAGTGCAGAAGAGAATCTGGAGTTCCGAGCTCCATCAACGAACGGAGATCAGGGATGCTGTTGATTACACCAAGAGATCAAAGATCAGGTGGGCCGGACACGTTATGCGATATNNGTGATGACCGTTGGACCAGGGCGGTTACTGACTGGTCCCCTCGGGACCATCAAACGAACTCCAGGACGGCCACCAACGAGATGGTCAGACTTCTTCACAAAAGCTCTGAGCGAAAAGAATGTTGAATCTCGTGTCTTTCAAGCGAGGACGTTTCACTAGACCACTCTGGCTCTGACAGGGATGAATGGAGAGGTTACTGGCGTCCTCGCGAGGAAGTCGACAATCAACGAGACGACAGGTGATACAGGCAATTTTCATGAACAGCTCGATTTCTGCTTCCAAAAAGTTGGTCCACTATTTATCAAAGAGATTATTTTCTCGCTCACTCCCCAGCCGGAATTCATCTTTCCCGAAGTCCAGTCATGTTTCGCCCGGATAGTGGAGTTTATCCTGCTTGGAGAGACTCAGCGATGGCCAAACACTTGCAATTTCCCGCACTTGCTGGCTTACTATTACTCCCCTATCAACCTGATGTATTTAGCAGCTCAAGAAGATTGAGGATTCGACGTTTTCAGATCGTCTCAGCGACAACTTGCTTTCATATTACATCCATCTGGAAATTAAGCCCTCAAAGTACAAGTTATATACAGAGTTGCAGCAATTTCAGGATAAGAGTGATTGTGTTCCTAGAGTCGATGCTGTATCCATTCGTTTCGGAGGTGAACCAGAAGATCCATGGGCTAGTAATCAAATATACGTTGACGTCACATTCTAGCTTGGGACGGAAGAAAATGACTGGTGAATACAGGGTAGAATTTGTAGAAGTTTTACTCACCGCATGGTTGTTCGCTTTTTCAAGTTTCATTGACATTTTGAGCATCCAGTACTTATTCCGTGCAGTTCATGGCTGAACGAAAGGGATACTTATCAGGTTGGGCCACGAATTGGACTAATCTCGAAGCATCTCTACCATTATATGCCAGAGAAAAATGATGTAATCAGCTCAAAAAAAACACATCTAGTAAGCGTGTAGTAAATAGGAGGTCTGGGAATTCAAGTTTTTTGGAAAGGTTTAAGGGGGCGGGGGGACCGAGAAAATATAATCGGTCATATCTCGGTTTCTGGGCATGATAGAGACTTGGGATTGACGCATTTGATTTGGAGTCCAAAAATTCATCCGGTAGGTATGTTAAATTTAAAATCTGAGAGATCAAGTTTTTCGGAAATTTTCATGCGGGGGAGCGATTTTAACATGGTCTCCCAGATTTCAAATTTAACATGCTAACTGGATGAATTTTTAGACGCCAAATCGAAGGCGACCAACTTCACTTGTCTCTGGAGTCTGTCTAGAAACCGATGTATAATCGACCAGTTAGCCCCGCACGCTATCGCACGCCTAAAATAGTGATTAAGTGAAGCTATACCGCCTGTACTTCAGACCATGAGCTGGGCATTCCACAGTCATCTAATTATTGAATGCATTGAACGCATGAATCATTCTCCACACATTGCCCATTTCACTAATACACTTAATGAATTTTTGTCGCTAACCCCGCCCATATTGGTGGACGCCTCACCCGCCATGGTCGTTGACCACTCCGCCGTTGCCCGACCCCAAGCACTTTTTTACAGGTCCCCAGGGCTTCGTGGAACCAAGTTATGACCTTTCGTAAGCTAAGCTCTGCCCACATTGGTGCGCGCCCCACCCACCCGTGGTTGTCGACCTCCCCGCCTTTGTTGGTCTCTGACCACTTTTCTTCCGGTCTCTAGGACTTCATGGAACCGAGTTATAAATTTGCTAGCGAACTCCGCCCCTTTTGTACCAGCCGCCCCAACTATTGGCAGTCAGCCTCCCCATCTTCTCCGACTTCTATTCACCTT